TCATTCTCTAGGTAAGGAAGGAGAACTAAAAAGGTAATATTAGATATAAGTAATTAGATGAATAGGATTATTAGTATTAATTGGATAAAGGATCTAGTTGCGTGATCTGACTTGAATACGTGGTTTAATTTGGGCGTTGACTCTCACTTTAATTAAAATTGTCAAATTAAATTTAGAAACAATATAAGTTATTCTTAATGAAGTTGTATTAAAATTATTATGTCTCATCATTTTGATAATCCCACACACCTCTAGCTTACGCGGAACCGGCACGACATGGTCATCACAGGGATGGCTATGTCGCAATCCTACTCGCACGTTTTGACTCCGTCTTTCCACATTATCACTATTTAAGACGTTTTGTGTTGCCAAGAATATACTGTTCAAATTTAGCTAAGATTTCTAAAAAGTTGTACCGTGTTCTGTGGATTCCGGACTTCCACATAGTCCTGGACTTGTGTGGTTCGAGTTTAGCAGAATGTGATCCAACCAAATCCGCCCGCGACATCCTAGTTCTAGATTTCTTGTGAATTTTGAGCAAATCGTAAACAAAAATTTGTTGGTTCCTGATTTCTTCCCTGCTGGGACGCGAAAGCATAAGCACCTAACTCTTTCTTACTTTTGATTGCGGGGAAGCTTTCACTAACTTTGCCTTTAGCTGCGTGAAATCCGTGGCGGTATCCTGCACTAACACTGATCGAATGTGGAGGAGATACCAATCTTGAGGCCCTTCCCTGAGGGTGACCTTTCAAGTAAGCACATGCTAAATCACTAGGAATTTCTAGTAATTTTATTTGATTGTCTATGGCCTCGAAATTCATTCACGTTCTCGGACCCGGAAAAGCACATTTCTGGTGTTGAAATGCCAAACCCGCTTGCATTGCACAACCCAGAGTCATGTAAATTATAACGGTTCCGGGCGCCATTGGGCGTGGGTCGATCTTCGTTGACCATATCGTGGGGTTTCGGCGTAAGTTAGAGGTGTGGGATTCTCGAAATGAAGAGACATTTAGAATTCTTAATATGACTTGTTAAAGAGTTTAGCTTGGTACTTATATATCGAACAAACTTATATTAAGGTAGAATAAACCAAAACACGTAGCCGTAATTTACACAGATCGCGCAATTGGATCCCTTACTTATCTATATAATTATATTATATCCACTTCCATATAGTCCTTATAATATTTCTAATTTCGGAAAATAATCTTCCCTACATGGAATTTCAATCAACAGTTCAATCAACTTCAAGATATTCCGTTAGACTCGGGGTACAATGGTAGCGTACCTTGTGATGAATATATTTGATTCTTGGGTAGGCCGTCCAATTTACACTTCTACCTTTTCTACACTGAACTTTCTCCCTACTTGCCATCCCACTTCAGAAACATACTTTTAAAGGGTTATCTTATTTGCATCTATCCTTCGTTTCACTTCTTGGATTTGGGTTGGGAAGATTTGCCATTGTCGTGGCAGTCAAAGAACAGGGTTATGTTAGAGGACGCGTGAGCCGTCACAGTATGCCAGTCATGGTCATTACATAAGTGATTTGCAATGTTTGATAAAATTGAATGATAGTTATGCTGAGAATGATGAGCAGATAAATTTATATGAGTTTGAGATATAAATTGAAAATGTTTGATAAAATTGAATTTTTATGGTTACAAAAAATTATGAAACAGTATAAAAAACACTAAAAAAATATTTCATCCATTGAATAATTTACATACTCTGTCGATGATTTTTTTCTGAATTCATTTTGAAGTATAGAGTTCGTATCACAAAATGAGACTAAACTGTGTTATTAATTGTATAAAGTAAAACATCTGAGATAAATGTTAATGTGCTGACGTGAAAGACATTTGTAAGATTATCACTTTTTGGCGATTTGCATGTTTAGGGCTTACGGAGACTAATATTTCGAGTTCGACTGAGAATAATTCTTTGTGTGTGATCAAGGAAATATTAGTATAGGTGGAACGGATACAAATTCAGTTATCTTTATACAAAAAAGCTAATATTTCATTTATATTTCAAAATCTAGTTTATTTCTTGTACTGAATGCTTTCGATATTCAAGTATGAGTCATGTGCATTGCTACACCATTCACCATTCAATTGAAAACTCATAATTTAGCGATACAATTGAATACTTAAAATGGCAGATATACAAATTAAAGAAGTATCATTAATGTGCCCATCAATGTCAAAATGTAACTGTTTGTTCGTTTTCGGAATAAGCCGCATCTGTTCGCTACCCCCACGACATATGTTCCTTTTGAAATTCATGTGTATTTAAAGAAATTTGTAAATGTGTTCCGCACCACAAAGTTGGAAAGGAAATCTGTCAGCATTGGAGCGTCGATTTCTCAGGCGTTGCTCAAGTAAGTTACAGAAATGTTTCTATTCTTTTTCAATTTTAACTTTTGTTATTTATAACTGTAACATCTTCGATACTTCATTACAGTGATTTCACCTTCTCTTTTACTTTTGAAATGCCTTTAGTTTTGTTCTAAAAATTAAGAAAAAAAATTATTTTCAAATGTTTATAAAAAATAATGAATCTTTTGCGTTATGATTTTTTTCCAGAGGACTTTACTACCAGAGCATGTTAATATTCATGGAAATAGAAATTCCTCTCCAGACAACAGAATATTCTTTCGATTAAACAAGTCTGGATTTAGCTAATAATAATGCTTTTCGTCTCATTGCAGTTTGTAAAATTCTTATTTTAGAAAATTAGAATTTTTTCATACGTTATTTCAAAATAATATAAAAATAGATGCACTTTTTTTTCAATGGTCCATTACAGTTGAGAGCTGTTGTGTTCCAATAGCATGTATCTGTATCATGTATATGAATTCCCAATTTAAAATAATATTAGCTTTTATTTTTATTTCAGAAAAGAATAGAAGATGTTGTTATACTAGTTTTAAGGTATCCGACTACGTTCAGAACCGTGATTTTGCAAAAGCGTATAAATGGATAATTTTCCTGATATTTAGTGTCACTTAGATTAGAATACATGTATCAAATTGTTTTAAGGACATTTTGACAAAAAAAATTATTTAAATACAATATTTCGGCAAAAAATGAACTCAGAAAAACCTTTTTACAAAATGTTCTCCTTTTGTGAAAAATGCTTCTATTATATAATAATATTTTGCCTGTATATAGCTCAGACCTCTGTACAGAGGTTCAACTATGGTTTTTGAAAAATTCTCATTATTTCCAGAGTTACAACCCATTGAAATAATTATCGGCGTTTTTTTCTTAAAATTTCTCCCCTCTGTTATGTAAAACATGGATAAACCCACTTCTAAGTTATATATTTCAAAAATTCTAGTTGAGCCTCTGTACAGAGGTCTGAGCTATTTTCAGGCAAAATATTGTTATAATAGAAGCATTTTTCACAAAAGGAGAATATTTTGAAAATGGGCCATTCTATGTTCATTTTTTGTCAAAATATTGTACTTAAATAATTTTTTATTGTAATACTATTCTTAAAACAATTTTATATATTTTTTCTGATCTAAGTGACACTAAATATCATAAATATTATCTATTTATACGCTTTTGCAAAATTATGGTTCCGAACGTAGTCGGATACCTTAAACAATATTCCTCGAATTAAAATTAATAATTGCCTTTTAATGGAATGCATATTTAGTTTTATTGTTTCAATTGTATTTTCTAAAAGCGCCTCTTAATCAAAAGACGAAAGAGAAATCGTATTTGGAAAACTGGATTAATTATACGACTGTCCAAGGGAAAGTAATAGATTTGAAGATAAAATACAGTCGGACCTCTATTTAACGAAGTTGATAACTCCCGAAAAAAAGTTGTAATATGGAAAATTCGTTACATAGAGATTCATCTTTTAATATACTTTTAAAACAAATTTCAAATTCGTAAACACTATATATTATTTAAAAAAAAAGTAATTATTCGCACTTTTTTTGAAAATTAATATATATTTATTTCATATTTCATACCCATCAAAAATAAACATGCAAAGAGAACATGGGGAAAAAACAATGTCTGAAATACACTGTGTTTTCAACTTTCAAAAATTTTATATTAAAATTAATAAATTTTTTAACGACTTTTTCTAATTTTAAACCGAAAAGTAGTTTTAAACATACATTACTTCATAACCAGTAATTTTAAAAATACACCACCACATGCGTCCTTAAATTTAATTATTGATAAAATCTATTAATTTTACTTGAGTTTTTTGTTTGAAAAATTATGGCAACTTCCTTGCTCTAGGTGAGTTAGGAACCTGGCAAAACCAGTTCAAAGCCATTGATCACCGTAAAATGTGTTAAAAGAGAGAATAATTTGAAAAATGTCCTGAAATATTTTAAAAATAGGGATAAAAAAATTTAATCATAAGAGAAAAAGTTCCATGAATAGAAAATGCCTTTCTTTATTTGGAGGTGTTTTTATGAAGAAATTTCGTAAATATTCTTGGTTCCAGGAAAAAGTTCGCGAAATAGAGGTTCGTTATATAGAGGTTTGACTGTAGTATGTGTGTGTGTGTGTGATTAAGATGCAAATAAATAGTCATTTTTGAAGTTATACTTCTTTTGGGGCGTTAGAGAAATAGGATGAGGGTGAATTTTTACGATGCTCGCGCACACCATCACGGATGTGACGTAAGACCGTCACGGATGTGACGCACACCGTCACGAATGCGAAAGTGTGTGTGGTTTGTCTAGAAATATACAGTTCGTTACAAATCATTGCAGCTTTCGAAATTCTCGGAAAAATGTTTCTATTCATTTCTCTGAAGAGGAAACCGGTGTTCGAACGGGGACCTCTTGATCTGCAGTCGAATGCTCTACCACTGAGCTATACCCCAGCGTCAGCTAACCTTTGCTTGGCGTTCCGTAGGAACAATACGAAAATGCTTTGATTAGAAATATTTAGAAAGGGGCAGATCATCTCCGCCTTCAAATTTCTCTCAAAAAATATTTCTCTTCACTTCCCTAAAGAAAAGGGCTCCCAGATTTGAACCGAGGACCTCTCGATCTGCAGTCGAATGCTCTACCACTAAGCAATACCCCTGTGTCATGAGCGTTTGCTTTCCGTAGGAACGGATACGAAAATGCTTTGTCTAGAAATATGCAGAACGGGACAGATCATTCCCTGCTTTCGAAATTCTCAAAATTATTTATCTTCACTTCCCTGAAGAAGGGGGCACCTTGGTTTGAACCGGGGGACTTCTCGATTAGCAGTTGAATGCTCTACTACTGAGCTATACCCTCCGTGTCTGCGAACCTTTGCTTTGCGCTGATTTGTGACGTCACTACTAGTAGGGAGAGACCATCCTTCGCCTACGGAGCTTCTCTGATGCATTTGTTTGAACACTTTTGTTATTAAACCAAACATATTTACAGGAAATTAAAAAAATAAATTAATCTTTAAATTGTGTTTCATGTACATAAAACATAAGAGTAAATATTAGTTTACCTATTTAAATAACAATTGCAAGTATATGATTATAGATGTATTTACTACGAAAGCATTGCAATGAACATAAACACATTTATTACATTGTAGCAAATTATAAGAGACTTTTGTATTCATATATATTTTTTTGAAGTTATCCTTCTTTTTGGGTGTTAGGAAAAAAGGATGAGGGTGAATTTTTACGATGCGCGCGCATACCTTCACGACACCGATGCGTGCGCGCACACCGTAGTCTAATATTTTAACATGCCACATTTTTCGTGCTATGGGACTGATATTTGGGGATCATAATAACTATTGTTATAAACCACTAGTGTTCGGACGCATTCCCCCTTTGTATTCTCCCCTCTACAGCTTTTTGCCAATATCTCGGCACCCAAGCCTCACCGTCCATTAGGATCTGGCTCATTCGATCCCTCTCTATCTGCTCTTCCAGTTATTATAATTTCATGCTCACGGGGCTATTTCTTTCATAGTTTTTATAACTGTCTTAAACTTTTTAAATTTGTTTAAATTCACAATTTCTTGGCTCCTGTTCGAATCGCGGACTTGAGATTTGAACCAAGTGTTCCACTCGTCGAGACCCATCCAGTCATCTGCTTCATCCCCATTGTGTAGGCATGGGGAGGCTTAAGCACTAAAATATCATGCTCCCATGTTAATCCTATGGGGACTGGAAAAAATTCACCCCTCCTTAAGGAATTGAGCTTGAAACTTGATTTTTGGAGGTCCACCATATTTTCGTATTAGCGTGAGCTTTACGTGGAATTGGCCCCTTCCCTCCTACAGGGCTTCCCCAGAAATAACTTCGAATCCTATGCCACCTTGGTTGACCGTACCGTCTGGATTCGATTGTTCTTCCTATGAGCATCTTAGATATATTTTTTCTTGACCATAGCCCCATTTCTTTACCCATATTTAACATTTAATTTAAAGTTTAATTTTTAAATTCCTATGGATTCCGAGATTTTTGAGATTCGTTAATGAAACAGGACATAAGGTAATCCTCTTGGACTCTTACATCTGTTATATTTGTGTGTAGATAGTGGACCAGGGAGGCGTTATCACTAAAACAGAATCCTATGTTATTCCTTGGGATTCGATCTTTTGATCGTGTTTCAGAATGAAGGATGAACTTTGGGATCACACTACACTCTGTGCATCGTTAGGATATACGTGATCATTTACGTCACAGTGTCCCACTCCGGGGAGTTATTTCGTTTTCCTTTCCAGCTAGCCCGCCCCATTGCACTAATCCGAACCGTTCATGATTCCTCTTGTGTTTGCTCTCAACCAGGCCTAGTTTCGAAATGCTGGGTGTCCTGCTTCTATTTTATTTAATTATTTTAAATGCTTGAATTATTTTAAAATGGCCATAACTCGGGGACTCTTCTCAGGCGGATATCTTAATTTTCTAAGGAACGATTCTTAACGCCGAGACATTCAAGATGAGGTCTCAGATGGCACATTCGGCTCACTTCATCTCCAAACCAGTCTGATACCCCATGTTATTGGTCCTATTGTCCCTGTGCTGGGGTGTTTAAATTTATTTAAATCGTGATTATCTCAGGTTTGACTGGTCCATTTGACTGAAGGTTAGTATCGTTCAACTCTGTTCGTTATTCGCCTTTCGCCCAGCTTGCCCTGCTAAAGCTTTTTAGAAAGGTTTTAATCTTGTTACGCCAAGAAGTATAATTTCTTAGGTGCGTACATAAGTACACACGCACGTTTTTTTATTTTACTAACAAGATAAAATTATTTGTAGTTGATTATCAAAGCAATTGAAGCAGAATGATGAAATTGTGGTTCTTCTGGTTGTCATCACATTGGCAGCACCTGCAATAGCCCAAAGCGTCCAAGATGTCCTGGACCTGTTCACCCATTTAGGATGCAAGGAGACCGACGACGTCTCTACAGGCTCGAATTTCCATCTGAGGGTGTGCGACAAGTGCTTGAGCTTCACTATGACGTTGAAGAAAACCGATCTAATCTATTGTAATTGTAAGTCTAGGTTTCAAATATCTTGAAACCACACCAAGGTTTGCTTATAAATATTTATTTCGCGTGTATTTTTTGCATCAGCAGTACCTACCCAAAGCTTCGAGGAATTCCTGGAGATGTTCACCGATCTGGGATGCAAAGAGTCCGAATTAATCGGTTCAGGAACGCAGAGCTACCTGAAGATATGTCATGAGTGCTTGAATTTCTCTATATCGTTGGAGGTAGTGGAACCAATTAATTGTGGAAGTAAGTTTTGATTTGAAATACCTTGAAACCATCGAGGTTTGTTTTCTGGCCGTAGCTATTTTTATCAAAGTAGGGTCGAAAATTACGTATGGTTTTAGTACGTATTTCAAATCTGCATATTAAATCTACATTTTAGAGTTAAAATATACAATTTTTTTGTATAAGAGTTTTTATTTTAAAATATAGAATTAGATCATCAAAATATATGAGCATAAAAACGTAAATGAAAACATAAACAAGAGCAGCACGGGTTGTACAGCTAAATAGTCGGAAAAATACATACCCTTGGAAATCGCGGGTTACGCAAATTTTGCTACACCTTCGTTGTCCGTGGAAATCGTGGGACGAGCAGCGAGAGGGTTATATATTTACCGTAAAATCCAACGTATAACGCGCACTTTTAACACAAAATATAAGATCAAAACTTAAGGGTGCGCATTATACGCCGGGTATAAAAACGATGGCTTCAAAAAAAGCAAATGAGCATAACAAAAAAAACATCTGCATAAATAGAAAAACTGTTTATTCAAAAGAAATGACTTTCCACATGAACTAAAAGAGTTGTAGTTCTAGAAGTATTGTGATACCGCCCCCCTTTGGTGACCGTATCTTTGATTGTCAGCGTGAGCTAGAGGTGTAGGATTTGCAAAAGGAATAGACATTTTTAATTCTTAATATGACTTTATTAAGAATAGAACTTAAATTTCTAACAATTTAGGTAAATTTAAATAAGCAAGAATCTATAATGAACAAACACACAATGATAGTTAAACCGAATCGCGTAATTTAGACCACTTTCTCTAAGTTATAATTATTTTATCCGCCTACTCTCACTTCTAATAATATTACAAGTCCTAATATCAAATAATCAGTCCTACCTTAATCCAAACTTAGATTCAATCTTTATGTGGAAACGTCTGGGCGCGCGTGCAATGGTATGCACCTTGTATTAATGGTTGGTTTTCCAGGTAACTTCACGATTGGCTGTCAATTCACACTATTCTCTATCACACATACCATTCCCCAAAATTGCCATCTCACTTACTGAAACTTCCGTTATTTAAAAGCTATCTTATTTGCATTTCTTTTTCACATTTCGCTTCTTGGGTTTTGGTTGGAAAAGAGTTGCCATTAATCTTGGCCACCAAAGAACCCAGAGGTTATGTTAAAGAAAAGACGCGTGAGCTGGTCACAGTATTCTATTTTTTCAAAAATCTGGGGTAATACCTCAAATAAATGACTTCAGAACATAAGAGCAATGTATACTAATATTTCAAATTTCTTCCTAAAAACATGAAGATAACAACTTTAAGATTGGCAACAGTTTTTTACAAGGGTTCGCGAACGTAACTACAGTAGGACCTCAATTTAACGAACTCATCGGGACCGAACCTGTTGCTCGTTAGTTCGTGGTTATTCGTTATATCGGGGCCTAAACAAAGCACAATATTTTTTTGCATGTACATTTTAGAAGTTCTATAAGCAACTACACAAAAACATCCCTGGTTATAAATTTCACACTTATCATTCGACAGCTAAAAATACTATTTGTGAATTATTACGCTCCAGTTAGAAATTTTAAAATATATATACTGACAAATAGATGTTTAAATTTTTTTTTGATTCTGGATTCGGAAGATTTCTTTTTCCACTCTATGCAGAGAAGAAAATACTACATCATTTACATCCTGTTGCATAAGAGAGGGGCATGTTTTCACAGTTCCTAATATTAGGAAACGGTTTTGATAGAAATTCCATTATCGACTTCTGCATTAGAATCGTTATTCATTGGCTCTGACTAATCAACAATTTCTTCATCTTCAGTTGCACAGATATTCAGTCCGTCATCAAATGTATCATAATTGCAAAAATCTTAAAATATTCCCTGCTCTGTGGATTCGGCTGAGATAAGAAAAGAATTTCCTGTCTGAACTCAAACGATAGTTAACACCAGCGATACTCAACCTGCAGCCCACCGAGCCTTTTTAAGTGGCCCGGTCATGGCCCATTGCTCTGAGTAATTTACTTATTTAAAAACATTGCATTAAAATTTGGTGGGAAATTTTTATCAAGAAATCAAATATATCAATTTTGCTTTTTGCCTGTCGGTGTCATACGGGTACGAATCCATATTCGTTTTCTATTTGGAACGGTTATGGTTAGTGATAACAGACAACAGTAGAATAGGGACCATTTTATGGGTGGAACTAATTTTTAACTATGTTTCATATCTTGCAAGCGAAAAATATTTTGAAGAAATTATATCGTTTCAAAACTATTAGGAGGTTTTGGCTATTTTGTAGGGAAAAACAAACACGGATCAGTAATTGTTTGATTTGTCGCGAAAG